ATCAGTTTATTTCACAAAGAAACGTGCTTCCTGTTCAATATGTTACCAAAAGGCCAGAAAGATTAGCAGGCTCATTTTTTTGCAGGTGGACTATGAAAGCGAGGAGGAAGACAATGGCGATGACCCAGAGGATAAAGAGGACCAGGGCGTGGAAGAGGCGGAGGAGGAGACAAACGCTGTGGAGGAGCCTCAGGCTAACGGGAGGAGAACCGAGAAGAGGAAGAAGGGAGAAAAACGAATGGAAGGAGCAGAGTCGCAGAGTGAGATGAGAGTGAACTCTGTGCTGGAGTCAAACGCAGCCATAGAGAGATACAGCTATGACCACAAGCATGAACTCTGGTGTGAGGTAAGTGTGTGCATGTCAGAGTAGTAGATTCTGAAAAATGAACACTGACTTTCTCTTAGAGATGGCTCTCACTTTGTTGCTTCCACACCCACCCACACACACACACACACACACACACACACACACACACACACACACACACACACACACACACACACACACACACACACACACACAGGAAAAGATGTTTGGCCCTCAGGAGCAACTGTTTCCTCTACTTCTGGTCATGCTAGTTTCACTCAGTTTGCGTAGAAGAGCAGGAAGGAAATCATAAATTGTACATTTAAGCACATTTCTCACCAAGTTTCCTTCCTAAGTGTAATTACTGTAAGATAACACGTCATTAGCATTCATTATCAGGTGCCATCTTTGAAAAGAGGAAGGCTACAAAGGCTCTTAATGTGGCTGCTGTGAATGCATGAACTGGTAGATTTGTGGGTTGCAGCGTTCATGTCTAAACTGCAGGAGTAACTGATGAGTTTTGCCACAATAAAAACGAAAAACATGTGGACATGTGCAGAGGAGGACAGTGAATGTACTGGATAAAGGACGTTGAAGACCACAGTGAAGAGTGGTGGATGGTAGTCCAGAGGGTTGGTGTGAAACAATGTTCCCTCTAATATTGCATGTGTCTGAGCAAACACACAAACTCCCTGAGCGACCCACTGTGGACCACTGTGAGCAACAGCAGACATGAGCACTGTGGTCACGCCAGCATCGAATCCATCCAAGTCACATGGTTTATTAAAATAATCAAATTACAGCGTTTACATTTATGTTAGACTACTTCTAATTAACTGCTTTAGCCCACTTACAATGACAATTTAAAAAATCTTGTTCATGACCTGTGTAGTATGTTAACACTTGGAAGTAAAAATAACTTGAACTCCAATTTTGAAAACTCAACTTTCTTCTTTTTAAAAAAAAATAAAGCTCTGACTTGTATTATGAGTCTGTGGTCTGGGAGAGAGTCTGTAACTCTGTCTGCAAAATACAGTAAATAATGACCAATGCTGGGCAATTAATTATATAGTTACTTCTTCAAAAAAGTAACTGAGTTTTGCAAACAAAGTTTTTTGCAGCTGTTTCCCTAAAAATGCAGCGAAGGCGTTTTTTTTAAATAAACATTTCAAACTATTTACAGAACAATCAGCTGTTCTGCATCAAATCTGATGCCACACAAATTATTTGTGCCACTCCAAAAAATAATTTGTGTCCACTATGAGATAAAGGAGATCAACAGCCTAATACCTGATTACAGCAGCAGATGTATCACTGCTGTAACACCTGTAACATTCAGCAGTCGCCTCATTGTTCTGACACACACACAACAAAACTGTTTTGAAGGAAGGAAGGTTCAGGGCTGAAGCAATCAGCATCATGGGCTCATCCGGTTAGAATAAGAAAAAGCAGCCATCTAATTCAGAATTATTCTCAGGGTTCTCCTTTTATTCTCAAATAATTAAGGCAAAGAAGGAAGGAAACAAAGACACACATGGACTGCCACAGCTGAAAGAAAACAGGAAAACAGATTTACTCATTCCCTTAAACAATACATAAAAATAAAACCCAAATAGAACCTCACCTCAGCTGCCGCCCCGTGTGGAAGTGAAGAAAGAGTGAGCCAAAAGTGAATGCAGTCCTTACTCTGGTTTTACGTGGCCGGTCAACACAATTTAGAAACTGGTATGAAGTCCACACTTTTCCCGTCAATTGTTCTGTCTGTCCTGCTCACATCTCCAACCGTTGTCCACGTTGTCATTAACGTGGCTTCACTCCACATCAGCCACGCCACTTTGCCTGCTAAAACACCGGTGTCGGCACATAAGGACGCTGTCATAGCCTGTCAACGATGTTGATTAGCTGCGTATATATGAATGTGAATCGCATCATTGGCTGGACTATGGGATAAGGTGGCATCGTTCAGTCACTCACTGACTAACACTGCAAAACAGAATTGTTAACGTATTTATTTTAATTTCAATTCAGGTTAGGGTTTTTTTGTGCGCAACACAGATTTTCTGTGCACAGACAGCAGTGCACAATTGTGCAATTGGTGTGAAAGACGATCTCCCTCCAGAAGACAACCTGTGCATCGATCCTTGTGGGGTTTTTAGCCTGGGTTTTGTATAATTGAGGACTTTTGGAAATTACGACGTATTGCGATTGCACTGACACGCATGACGCTAAGGTATGCAGCTACAGGAAGTAGATTAACTCTCATCTGTCTCCTTTATAGGTTGACCTGGCATTACCTGTGAGCAAGGTGCACTTTGATCTGACCTCGGTGCTGACATCGCTGGCCCAGAATGCCGTCATCATGGAGACCAAGGGCCTGACGCGCTGCCTGCTCAGCGAAACGACAACAAAGACCGGAGAAAAGGAAACCGTTCTGAACACTGAGGGAATCAACATGCATGAAATCTTCAAGTACAGTGATGTAGGTTGTGAAATTGAAACAATGCCGTGCTTATAAGGGTGGCTTTTTGTTTTTTTGCACATCTGCAAGCCTTTCTAAATTAAGTGAAGGTAAACAGCTGGTCAGAGTTACAAGTTGCTGGGTTACAGATAAGATTCCTCCAGCTACATTTTGATTGGTCCGATCAGAAATACAGAGAGTAACTGTGGCGATATCGCCTCTGTAGTTTGGAAAGGCTTCTGCAGTTTCTTATTGTATTTGTGTTGCTCTGTCTTACCAGACTGCATGTTTTCAGTTGTCCCAACACTGCAGCTCTATTTATTTTCCTCCAGATCTTGGACATCAACAGACTGTACTCCAATGAGGTGCACGCCATGGCGAAGACATATGGAATTGAGGTGGCTCTGAAGGTCATAGAGAAAGAGATCAAAAATGTCTTTGCTGTCTATGGTAAACATGCTCTTATTTAGACTCGTACTCAAAAAACCCCAAACCAGGAAAGCTCTCAGAATCACTCAGATTTCCTCCGTCTCTCTCCAGGTATTGAAGTTGACCCCAGACATCTATCACTGGTAGCAGACTACATGTGCTATGAAGGTGTATATAAGCCACTGAACCGACACGCAATCCGGTCCAACTCCTCTCCTCTGCAGCAGATGACCTTCGAGACCAGCTACAAATTCCTCAAGCAGGCCACCATGCTAGGTAAGGATGACAACATTGATAAAGCATAGAAAGCTGAAGAGAAATCACAGTTTACGAGGGTCGCTACTGGCCTACCAGCGTTAGGCTCTTTGTTTTTTCTATGTACTAAATCGGATTTGATCATTAGTCAGAAGTAAATGTATAGAAATACATTTTCAGCATTGTTGTTAAGTAAAGTATTCTTCTTCTTCTTCTCTCC